GAGATGCCCAAACCCACCCTTAAGTATCCCTGAGATGCCCAAACCCATCCTTAAGATGCCCAAATGCACCCTTAAGTATCCCTAAGATGCCCAAACGCACCCTTAAGTATCCCCGAGATGCCCAAACCCACCCTTAAGTATCCCCGAGATGCCCAAACCCACCCTTAAGTATCCCCGAGATGCCCAAACCCACCCTTAAGTATCCCCAAGATGCCCAAACCCACCCTTAAGTATCCCTAAGATGCCCAAATGCACCCTTACGTATCCTTAAGATGCCCAAATGCACCCTAAAATATACTAAATATCCCTTAAAAGTGCCCTTAAATATTCCTAAAATACCCCAAATATAGCCCTAAAATGTGTGAAATGAAATGGCCCTTGCATAGCCCTATAAAACCTCCTTTCTTCTTCCCGCAGAGCAGGGCATTGGGAGAAAGTGAGACACCCTTTAAATACTCTAAAGTGTCCCATATATGCCCTAAAATATGCATAACGCACCTTAAATCTTTTCCCAGAGCAGGACAGCACCAGAAAATGGGACACCCTTTAAGTACCATTTAGTATGCTGAATATATCCTGAAATAGTCCCAAAAGATCCTAAACCCACCCTAAATACCCCAAATAACTGCTTATACTCCCCAAACACTCCTGTATAAGCTCATACCTACCGAAAGGAGCTATGGGAAAGAGTGGGACTCCTTTTAAATGCGCCAAATATACCCTTAACTATACCCGACTATCCTAAATACAGCTTGAATAACTCCTCCTGGAGTGGGGTCATGGAAAAAATGTGAGCTCCTAAATATACCCTTAAATATAACCTTAATTATTCCTATAATACCCCAAATACATTTTAAATGCCCCTATTTAACTCTGTGGATTGGGGAGGTAGAAGAGGAAGAGAAACTCAAATGTTCCTTCAAACACAATACATGGAAACATACCCTTCAAATATCCCTAAGTATTCCCTGACTATCTTAACTAACCTTAAATACTGCCAAAATCTCCAATACCCCTTAATGCTTCCTCCCTATGGCATATGATGGAATTTGAATTCAATAGATATCTAAAGAGTCTGATGATGACCGTGAATCCATTGTCGATTATGGGAAAAACCCACCTGGTTCACAGATGTCCTTTAGGGAAGGAAACTGTCACCCTTACCTGGTCTGGCCTACATGTGACTCCAGACCCACAGCAATGTGGTTGACTGTTAGTTGCCTTCTGGGTAATTAAGGACAGGCAATAAATGCTGCCCAGCCAGCGATGCCCTCATCTTGCTAATTAATAAACAAAAATTGCCCATGTACCCCTCAGAGTGGGCAGCGGGAGGATAAGACATCTTTTAAATGCTCCTGATACACTGTATATGCCCTTTAAGCACTCCGAAAAACCCTCAAATACACATTAATAAATCTTAAATACTTGCACAAATGTGTGCCAGAGTAAGGTGGCAGTAGAGGATGAGAAAGTCTTTAAATAGTGGACTTACACAGTTAATGGTAAGGTCCTGGGGAGTGTTGCTAAACAGAGAGACCTTTGAGTGTAGGTTCATAGTTCCTTGAAAGTGAAGTCGCACAAGATAGATAGGGAAGAAGGTGTTTGGTACACTTGCCCTTATTGGTCATTGAGCACAGGAGTTGGGAGGGTCGTGTTGAGGTTGTGCAGGACATTGGTTCAGCTACTTTTGGAATACTGCATGCAATTCTGGTCTCCCTGCTATAGGAAGGATGTAGTGAAAATAGAAAGGGCTTAGGAAAGATTTACAACAATGTTGGAGGGTTTGAGCTATGGGGTGAGGCCGAATAGGCTGGGGCTATTCTCCCTGGAGCATCAGAGGCTGAGGGGTGAACCTTATAGAGGTTTATAAAAACATGAGGAGCACGGATAGGGTGAATAGTCAAAATCTTTTCCCCAGGGTAGGGAAGTCCTAAAAGGTGTAGGTTTAAAGTGAGAGGGGAAAGATGTAAAAGGGACCTAGGAGGGTGGTACATGGATGGAATGGGCTGCCAGAGGATGTGGTGGAGGCTGGTACAATTACAACATTTAAAAGGATGGGTACATGGATAGGAAGGGTTTAGGGGGGATATGGGCCAAATGTTGGCAAATGGGACTAGATTAATTTAGGATATCTGGTCGGCACGGACAGGTTAGACTGCATAACTGTGTGTCTGCTGATATTCCCCAGTAAAGACCGAAAATGACCCAGGCCCAGAGAGATAGACACCAGTTCCAGGCAGGCTGCATTGTATTGATGGGTTCTGTGTTTAATCCCAGGGACAGGTTTTTCCAGGGAATGACACTGGATGATGAGGATGAGGATGAGGACGAGGACGAAGACGATGGGTTTTTCGGAGCTCGTCCGGGAGACACCTTCAGCTTTGGCTTCAGGCCAGGCGGCCGGAATTTCGACGATGGGTTTTCCGGACTTTTCCATGAGATGGACGAACTTTTCAAAGGCATTGGCAGCTGGGAGGTGCCCAGTGGACAATTTGGTGAATTCTCTCTCTCTTTTTGACTCTCCTTCCTTTAAATCCTCACAAGCGTCACACTCCCTCCGAGACCAGTCGCATAATGTTCAATCGTTCCCTCGGTGCCGACCCTCCGACAGCGCCCGCTCCCTCGGCACCAACCCTCCGACAGCGCCCGCCCCCTCGGCGCCGACCTTCCGACAGCACCCGCCCCCTCGGCGCCGACCCTCCGACAGTGCGGTGGCCCCTCGACACCAAACCTCATTTACTTGGGTAATGAAACAAAGTGAGTGCTGTATCTGAGAGCAGGTTGTAGTAAAACTGGTGTCACTCCCTCCCCCCACCCCTCCCTTTCCCAAACACAGACTTGCCTGTGTTGGAGCCCCATCCGTACGGAGGTGGCCGGCAGGAGTGGAGCAGACGTAGTCCCCGTGACTTGATGTTGAAGGAGCCGGAGAAGGATCGCCCCGAAGGAAGTGGAGAGCAGCCTGATGGTGACCGGCGGGATAGACTCACTCCCGAGGGGTCGCGCAGAGGACCCCTGACTCCTTACAGAAGACCATGGAATCCACCCAACACGGTAAGACCCACTTCTCTCCTGACCCAAGATCAGGAGGAGGCCATTCAGACCCACCAAGCCATTCCCGCCACTCGATTGGGCTATAACTTAGCTCCACTGACCCGCTTCGGTTCCCTGCCCTTGAACCCTCCTGCCCCAGCCAACGAAATCCCATCGGCCTGTTTTCCAAATCTCCTCAGGAACTCACCCGCTCCCTGCACCCTCAACAGTGCCTTTGAGGGAAAGGGTTTCCATCCTCTCGTTTGTGTGAGGTGGGACTTACTGCAAGGTTGAAGGTCCCCTTGTGCTCGCCCTCGCGCTCCCCCCCCACCATCTCCCGCCCGC